TATAAGTTTAATAGGTCAGGTTTGCGGTTCAAACCCCATTCACGACACAAATAAAACAAAAACTAAATAATTCAAGTAATTTTTTTATTTATTTTTTTTTTAATAAAAATGAAATGCACTCTATATAAATATTTGTTTAATTTTAACAATTTTATATCGCATTAAAATGCTAGCAATTAAACTTGAACAGCACACAGCGCATTTACACATTTAACAGTGCATGTCGCTGTTAACCGTAGCACGCTGTAAGTAGCCTATACAAAAAATCACCCCTATGTATGTTAGCAGCAGTCGGTGCTGTTAACGTCGAAACGTTATAATTCCCAAGTGCACGTTCGTCTGGTGCTGCGTATAAATACGAGTTGCACAGCGTTGTTAGTTGGAAGTGTCTTCTGTGATTGTTCTCTGTGCATTGATCGATATATAGATGCCCATCTGTTTATCAGATCTGCTCAGTGCCGACCCTCCGTCACACTTTGTTTCCCAGTAATTCTGCCTGGCATTGATGTGGCAACACGTTCTGATTGGCTTTCCGCTGCCTTTGCTAACGACGACGGGTCGATTAGCAACAGACGCACGGTCATGCATCAGCACCACCCACCGCCCAACCTCCGCCCCTCTCACGCGTATTTCAACCGCTTCTGGTTGAGGATGCGTGTATAGGTAACGGGTTGGGCGGGGGGCCGCTAATGTTGAAGCCAACAACAGTTGCCCAAGTCAGCCATTTTCAAAATTTCTTGGTTAAGTAACTTTGTAGCTTAGCTTCGGATTTTCGTAATAAATTTGCTGTTCAGAACACTTCCATGTACGCGGCATTGCCGAGCAATTTGCCCATTCTTTTGCTGAAAATTTCAATTCCTTCCTACACCACCTACACAATCACAAAAAATATATAAAAGTGGAAGGGGTTATATTTTATTTTGGTGAATTGACTCGCTTTTCACCGCTTCGTCGGCATGCAGCCGTAGCGCACTGACTTGCGGGGCAGTAGAGTGAGCCATATCCAGAATAAGGCGACGGATGTGTAACATCGTACAGTTGACAAAAGCTCTCCGTATCGACGGTTTGGCACTGTAAGCGATCGTGATTGGGGTGTGGAGACGACGATTGGCTTTATGGGAAGCTCGACATCGGGGCGCGGCCAGAGATCCACCTGCTCTATGCTCTCAATGTTCTTCAGATACTGTTTGAGTTCATTACGTTTCCTGAAATTCACAGTGCATAAAGTCTACGTACATCCCTTACAACAGGGCAACTTACATCTGACGGTCTTTGAGTTTCTGTTCGAGTTGTTCAACTGTTGAGCGCATGTTGGCTAGTTCCACATTCTTGTCTTCCAACTGAAAGACAAGCGACTCCTTCACATTCCCGTGCTCCTTTTCCATCTCGCTCATCTCGTTCAGAAGTCGCTGCTTCTCCTGCTTCAATTGCTGTACGTTGGATTCCTCCTCAGCCAGCTTTTGCTTTAAGTTGAGCTGCTCGTAAAGCGCATTTCGAAGATCTTCATTGCATTTCGCCGCAATTTTCTTCAGCTCCAATTGCTGAAAAGTAAAATAGGCTTTTATGTGAAGGCTATACAAAATTCCGTTCAACTTACCTCCTGTCTGCAGTAGATAAGCTCTTTTTCCAGCTGATCCTTGTCGGCCTGCAGGTTGATTAGGGAAGTGTTAAGCATCTCACAGGACTTTCGCGCTTGGTTCATGTTTATTGTGGATTTCTTCAGTTCTACTTGAAGCTCCCTGCAACGTTTCTGCTCGACGCGCATCAGTGTTTTGGATACATGTAGCTCATTTTTAGAGAAAATGGACTAAAGGAGGATTCTTATAGAGAGATAGACAGATGAATAGATGTATTCCTTATCAGATACTCACGTTCTTTTGGAGACGTTCCACCGCCTGCTGCAATTTGCGGACATCGGCGCGGCGTTGGCGCCATGCGTGCAGCATGACCGAGGTGAGGACTCTCATGCGAGCAAGCCTTATCATATCCTGGGTGGATTTCCACTCGGCCGACTGTTGCTCCATCACTAGGTTGCTGCTAGACGCCATGACCTGGTGGTTAACCGTGCTCCACGAGTTGTTCACGTTAGGTGCGATCGAGTGTTTACTGTAGGGGAATTTTGGGGTCTTATCCTCTGGACAGATATCTACGATGTCCATGGTGTATGTAAAAGGTAAGTTTTAATGAGCTTAAAACGCGACAATAAAATGGGTAAAACTGTAATTTTAAAAGGGGTAGAAGCCAAACCCTATAAAATAAACAAATTTATTTAAATCAGGTAGAAATATGAAACAAAAAAATCAAATTGAAATAAGAAATTTTTATGTCTACACAAAATTTTGTAGTTCCTGTAGGTTGAGAAGTTTTATTCATTGTGCACTGCGAAACAATACGAGATGTGCCTCGCACATCGATTCGATCGTTTATGTCATTTAATTGCTTTGCTGTATTTCACAAGAATTCGTTAGGGTGAGAGAGCCTTTCTTGCATTTTAACTGGCAAATTGCACGCACACTTCCCGCAGGTGGCTCTAAGAACCGATAGCAGGTTAAAGTTCAGTGTGTTGGTTGTGCATAATCGAATAGTGAATGCTCTTTCAAAGGTTAAAGAAAGATAAGAGAAAATAAGTGATAGCAATGTGTATATCTATTACTGCATTTATACGTTTGTCTCATTTTATACATAAAAGTCACACTCAAACTTTAATTAAACATTTTTAAATTAAATACGTCAAAATACTTCATTTAATTTCATTTCATATATTTCGTCTGTAACATTTCTCAAAGAAATATAATACCACAATCATAGCTCATAGTAAATAAATCATAAAAGAAATAATAGTGAAAATATAATATAATAAACTTGACCTCAAGTTAAACTGAATTTAATTAAAGTCAGTCGAGTGTAATTAAACCTCACCCATACAGCTATCGCATTTGCAATCTGTGAGCGGCACCAGAACTTTTACAAGGTCCTTCACCGCAATTTCACCTTCGCATTGAACGCGCTTACTTTACCCAAGTCGGGCTAGCTCAAGGACACTCAAGGCACAGGAAGTTCAAAGAGCTTAAATGGCAAAAACAACAAATAAATCAATATGTCGTGTATATAAGGTACAACAGCGTCTGTTAACATGGCCAGCACGTGTCGGCTTTATGAACAGCCCACCTCTCGAGCCTTACGTGCACCATGCACCCACTGGCAGACCCCATTCGGAAATTTAGTCATACCCATTCGTGAAAAACCTGTTCGGTCCAGGCAAGTACTGGACAAATATCACGCGATTTCAGCTGAAAACCTTTTCCAATTGGCTGTCGACTGTTGGTTATTGGGCCAGCCTACGGCGGTGGGGTATGTTTGATCGATGTCTGGCCCAGGGGGCTATGGGAGCAGCTATTAGCCAGGACAACAGTTGTTGAGTTTAGGCAGTCCAAATCATGCTATCAAATCGTTTTCCTTTGAATTCGTATACCCTAAAACATTGAGCATGGCTACAGAGAGTATATTGTTTTTATTGAGATAGATAACAGAGAGACTGCATATAGTAGAGTATATCTATCCGTATGTATAGTTTGTCGGATGACACTTATAAGCTGTTTCATGTCTGTTAAAATCAATATTTAACTAAATTAGTTGCATTCTATATCAAATGATTCTCCATAAGGCTCTCCACTTTTCCAATATTTCCACATCACAGTATCTCCTAGTCAGGCAGCCCCCACTAGAGCTCTTTTACCTGTTTGTATACATATATGCATGTTTTTTTTTTTTTTTTTTTTTGTTGGGATGTGTCGTTTGACATAATTTCTATTTATTTTGATTTGAGCTCACGGGGAAATTTTGATACTTCAGTTACGATTGTCGCATGCCAGCTGTATTTTTTATGACTTATAAGCATATACATATATATGTTATATCTATGCTAAATCAAGTATATCAAGAATCTCTGGGAATTGCCAGCATAAAGACGAGATTGTTATGGGGGAACTTGAAAGGCCATTAGATCGAGCTAAATTCAGTATAATAAAACACTTCCGAATTCCGATTAAATATGAATTCAAGATTCTTCTTCTTCAATATAGGCATCTTTCACTCTCGCTGCATGAATCAGCATTGAGAAGTTTTCACAATTGATGAGTTCCGTGGAATTTCGTTATCCTGAATGTCAAAGTTCGAGCGTGAAAGCGAGAGTCGAGCTACGCATGCTGCATGCCGCATGCCGCATGCCGCATGTCGCATGTGAGTCATGTGCTTTGGGGACTATAGCTATGTATGTATTTGCCATAACAAATAACAAATGCCGGCGCATGATGATATCCTTTTCCAGGAATTGTAGCTTGAATCAGTCGACAGACAAACAAGCGGCTCAGACCACCCATGCCACCCAACCACCCCACCCAACCAGCCAACCAGCTAGCCAGACCGTATGGCCACAACAAAACATTTTCATTCATAAAAGCGTGAAAAAGCTTTTCCTCGCGTGTGAGTCAGCCGCGGCATTAACACTGTAAGAAATTTCCAGTAGCCAATTTTGCAATCAGCGTGACTCAGCGCAGCGTAGCTCAAACCACACTAAGTTTGTGACGTTTTATTGGTACTCTCCCTCTCTCTCTTTCTCTCTCACTATGCGTTTGCCTCGCTGCATCAGTGTGTTTTGCTGTCTTTAGCTCAACTGTTGACGATCTTTGTTTTTGTGCCTATCACATCGAGCGATCAGGCGCTGAAGCCAGCTCCACTCAGCTGGCAGCTGAGCCACAGACTGTCACGTTTTGTTTGTCGCTCTCCCAGACGCTCTCTCTCTCTAGCTCGCTCACTCGCTCGCTCTTTTGAGCTTCTCTTGCAGTTTGTTTTTAACAGCTATTGCTGCGTCACTGCTTTCTGTCTTGAGCCGCACTCTTCGCGATGTTTGTTTTGGCTGTGCCCTGCCCTATCAAACGAAAAGCTCTTGGCTTGGCGGCACTTTTTTAATGGCGTCTTCGTGACTTGTTTCGCTGCTCTTCTTGGCTTTTCGGTTTAGTCTTCAATTCGCTGGCGACGTGATCGGTCGATCGAACACTCGTTGTTGTCGTTGTCGTCGTCGTCGTCATAGATTTGTGCTTTTACAACTCTGCTTAACGCATCTTGCACAACAGCGCGCGCGCGCAAATGCTTAAAGCTCTCTCTCGTGACTCTCTCTCTCTCTTCATCTCTCCGTGTGTGTCTGCTGCGTACTTGTGGCGCAGGCAAGTCAAGAAAACCTGTGCATGCCAAGTGTAGACAAATTGTAGATAAAAATAAAGTAAAATGAAAACGTAAAAAGGTGCATACAAAATTATCAAAGTTTCACTAGCGAGTTTTTGGTAACTGCAAAGGTTTTTGCATAACAGTAGCCCCAATAACAGCAAAGCTATCAAAATAATTACCAATAGTTGTGAAAGCAAAAACAACAAATCAATCTTCTGCAACGGGGCCCAAATACACGTACACTCGATAATGTGGCCAAGAATTGAATGTTTCGCTTTTCGCCGCGATTAGATTACGCCACTCAAAAAATTTGTTGTCAAATGCCGCTCGCCAAAAGTTTGTAGAAAAGCTTGTTAGACAATAACAGCGCACATATTTTGCATATGCGAGTGTGTGTGTGCGTGTGTGTGGATTGTACATCGAATTCAAATTAAGTCCGCCGCCGCGGTCACAAAAACAAAAACATTGTTGATGATCGCATAAGTATAAAGCCCGGAATTCCCAAAAAGAAAACAACGTCATTACAAAAGCCCGCGCTCTCCCACTCTCTCTCTCTCTGTATGTCGTCTCTTTATCTATCTCTCTTTGGCTTGAGCTCTTTTTATCACTCCACCTCTCTTGTTGTCGCTTTCGACGACAGTTCACCGCAAACTTCGATGATTTCTTAGCGTTTCATTAGTTTTCAATTTTGTGACATTTTACTTTTTACTTTTTAGATACTCGTTACAAATTAAAAGAGAGACTATATGTACCATCTATTAGTAATATTTTCATTTTGGATTTCAGTAATATATTGAGGGCGTGCCTCCTCCAACATATTAGTTCTCTAATAAGCTCAAATGAATTCAACCGTGAGCGAGTATCATGTAGTCGGTTGTACATTTCTTTTCAAGGCGTTACTGTTCGTCTGTTATATCTCTCACACTTTTAATTTCTTCTCGCTTCATTATCGCATAGTTCTTCACCTGCCTCGTCTGTCGCTTTGACGGGATTCGCAGTTTTTCGCGCAACTAAAATAAATGAAATTTTAATAAACTGAGAAAAGTTTTTTTTTTATTCTGTATTTAAAAGTTATTGAAATAGCAAACCGGTTTCTGTAACGTGTACTTCATTGTGTAGAATATCATTAGCAGTACATGGAATATTCTGTCGACTATAAATAAGTTCGCATTACTTGTTTACTCAGTCCCCATTTACATAACAACATTATTCCTTCGACTTCTATCGAGCGTCGAGGTGCTTCAACCGTGTTCTATTCCAGATATGAAAGTGTGAAATCCATCTGTAAAAGCTATAGAAAACCAAAAGAGCAACACTCGATGCATTTTAAGTTGTTATCAAAAAACATTGACTAAGGTGAGTAGCTGAAATATGTGTGATATATGTGGGACCTTCAGATTCAGAGGAAAATATTTTTGTATATAGCTGTTAACAGTATTTGAAACGATCAGATTCAACTAATATTTCTATATTATTAAACAATTATTATTATTGTTATAAGAAACCCCCAAAAAAACTAAATAGAAATTGATTATGGGCATTTCTTTTGCTATAAATTACAATCTAATCAAAGAATTGCAAATTGATCGCAGGCTACAAATTGACTTTGTTACCATACTACTGTTAGACACATAATTATATATATCTATGTGTGCATACACACATACATGCACAAGTGTTGACATTTTTCGGTCGGAAATGCCTTCTATGCGATATGCACAACTCTAATGACAAACCAAACTTCAATATGCAAATATGCATCACACATACATGCAGATCAGTGTATACGTTGTATACATTATGCATACTTCTGATATCAGTACTGAAATATTACTCATCTGCTGCAAGTCGATTAGGGCTATAAAATATTAACATATACTGCTTATATTTCTGCTGGTAGCACCAATTCGCTCGCAGTGTATTTACAACCCCTTGTAAAAGCTTTCCCAAGCGCGCGCTTTTGCTCCATCTCTCTCTCTCTCTCTCTCTCTCTCTCTCTGTGTCTACCTCTCTCGCTCTATCTCGCCTGCTATATCTTATGTTCTGGTGTGTGGATTATACAAACGATAAATTGAAACAGAAACAGAAAAACTAAAACACCTGTGTACATGGCAGTGCAGTCGCTATCGCTGCCTCTGCCTCTGCCGCAGTCGCAGTCGACGTCGCCTAAAAGTTTTCTGTGTTTGTTGGGGGTGTGAGGAAAGCTTCGGCATTTCATTTTCGTAGGCACTTGCATTTGTTTGGGGCGTTAAAAACGGCACGAGAATTTCCAATTGGATTTCATTTGAAGATCGACTCGTAGGCTCGACGGTTGTGTTTGCACGGAAAAGCTAACGGAAATACTAGAAAAAGTGGATTTTATTATATCGGTCTCGATTTAAAAGTGAGTGTGTGCAAAGCAGAATCGGGGCGAATTTAAACTTGTCAAACATGCTCAGAGTTCCATTGAATAAAACTTAAGAAAGTTTCCCAACAAAATAAAACATATAAAAAATGTAAATCATGTCTTAACATGTAACTGGCTAGCAATACAGGTAATTACAGGTGTTGTGATGCTTTTGGCTAATTCAACGTAATTTTATATTGCACAAATGGCATGCAAAACCGGCTGCTGACTCAGTACTTAGTGTTAATTGTGCTTCTGTGTATATGCAGGTATGTGTGTGTGTGTGTGTGTAAATGTGTTTAAGACAAATAACAAAAAAACAACTGCAAATATAGCAAGTTATGAAGAGTATAATTATCTCAGCTGTGCGATATACAAAGCTCAACTTGTGTAGCCAAAGCTAAGTCAATAAACGACATTTCGTGGAACTTTCGCGGGGTTTGATTGATGAACCGATATGTGTATGTATGTATGTGGTTCATTGTCTAGTATAGAGGAGCATTACTTTCAATCATCAATCATAGCAATCAAATTGAAGCTACATTGCCAAATGCTTGACTGCCATTCTGATAGAGACAGCGTGACATTTTATTAATATTATATAAGATATTATTTAGATGTTAGGCTATGAGCTAATTAGTGTATAGTAAGAACAGTGCTTGATAGGACACTATAAAAAGTGGAATCATAAAATGATTGATTTTCTTAAACAAATCTTCAAATCATTTCATAAAATAAAAGATTTTATAAAAAGAGTTACACTTGCATTCTCGAGTACGAACTAGTTCAATTACAAAATTCATTTCAATGACGGCTTTTTCTGAAATTAGTAATTCTTCAGTCGGGTCCACAGATTTGTCAATGGCGGCATCGGCTGTTATTAATTGATTTGTATTTTTATTTTAGCTGTAAATTGCTTGACGCCAGCGACCATTAAATTTGGTTGTTGTTGGCTTTTTGCTTGGTATTAGCGAGAGTCTCGGCGTCTTTTTGGCGAGTATCTGTAGATTCGGAACTAGTTAGAACTTGTTTTGGGACCAGATTGAGGAATTCAGCTAGAGCTGCTACTTTGATGTTGATCTTAATCTTAATTTGTAGAGCCTGGCGCCAAAAGTTTTTTGTTTTTATTTTATTGGAAACATCATAAAACTAGAATATTTTAATCTATTGAAGACATTTCATTCCATTGGCCGAATGGTCACAGCTGCCTGATTGGCGCCAGTTGGTTAATTCCTGCTCACCTCTCGCTCCGTCCCTTTCTCTTTCTCTTTTTCTTTTCTTTTGTTTTTGTTCGAGTGAGAGGGTTCCATCATTAATCAATTTTATGGTTTCAAGCTTTGTTTTTATGCCATGAATCAATTGAAAATTAATGAAGTGGGTATCATGTTTAGTGAATCCACATGCAAAAAGCTAGAAGGTATACCCCTTTACTCTTGGTGGAAACTGTTGAGTCGAAGAGCAGAAGACTTGCAATTTAGATGTGAATTGGAACTATAATATATCAAAGGTGCTGAGTTCATTCATCTAATATGCTGCGTACACCTTGAGGTATATAACAGTTTCTATGTCTGTGGACGGTTCAGGGTATTTCCCAGTCAGGCAAAGCAGTTATACTTGTTTATGTGAATCAATTCTGTTTGGTTTCTACCTTTACATCGCTGCTGGAAACTCTCGACGTGTGTTTTTGTGTATCATCGATTATTTTATTTGAATACTATGTCATTCCGTATCCAGCTATCTGATACGCATTTATTTCGGCTCATATCTGAAAGCCGACAATTCGGTAGCTTATCTGCAGCTTTTCGTGCGTCGGATCCGTTCCGTTTTATGATGCAGATATGTATTTAGTGCAGGTGCTATAAACAGTGCTCTAACAAATAAATTGCCATATAATCACATGTGCCAGACTCTGGAAATAATATTAAATACCGAATATACCCATAAAATGATAATAAATTGAAGAGAATAAAAACTGGAACCTGTCTCCATTTAAGTGGATACATGCCCTGGTCCTTATTCCAAGCTCAACTGTTGCAGAACTGTTTGTTTGGCTCTATTTAAAAGCTTGTACAGAAGTTTTGGCCTTGGATGATTCTATCTAATCTAGTGGCTCTGGCTCTTAAGTATGAGAGATAGGCTTGATCAATAAAACCTTTCATTCGATTTTTATATAAATCCATTACAATTTGGGCATACGCTAAATTCATTTGTGCAATAAAAGAAATAATAACGATGTATGATTATAGAGTAATTAAACTTATGCATCGACTCGACGCTCTCGGTTACTGACCTTGCGTTCCAGATAAATATGTATGCATTTCTCAAGAATCACCTCCATTAAATGTCATCACACAGATGACAAAAAAAACACGCGTTTTCTGAATGATTCTCTGCCGAGTGGGCCACACGAGCGAATTCCTAGCATATTTGCTTCTTTGAAAAATCACAAATTTAAATATTATATATTAGTACACATATTATATCGAAACGTAATAATTATCTTAGCCATGTGAGTCAGAGATTTCTTGGAAATTCTCTGGGCTCTGTCAAAACGAAAACATTTCGTACAAGTCGTATTTAGCCTATAATTATCACATATCTTTAATGCACATGTCTTTGGCTAACCAAAAGCTCACATAATTATTATCATAAATAATAGATTGGTAAAAAGATTTTCAAACTGCCTCTTGTTGCTTGATAGAACTGTTGACAAGTGTCTTGCTCAGTGGCCGCTGAGCGGAAATGCCAATAAATGCCATTGGGCATCTGGCCCAGTGTGCATCTATATGTTTGTATATATAGATGAATATACATACACATATGTAGCTACCTGAATAATCTGTTTATTGTGAATGTCGAATAAAATATCCATTCTGTTTGTGCATTTATAGGCTTTTACAAAAATTAAACAGAAATTTAGCGTTTAAATGATATATCTTATATATCTATATTTTAACTTTCGATTATTCTTGGATATTACGCATATATGTATGTATACGTAGTTCAGTTTCAGTCTAAGCTTAAAGACAACTTCAAAGACATTTTCAGATACTTCGATATACGTATGTATACCTTTTCTCTATATATACCACAAGTATGCTATTTCTTGTTGTATGTAGTTATTGTTACAGTCAGATACATTATTATATAAATATATATATAATGCTTAAAAATCAAGAGGTGTATGTATAGGGAATCTCGAATGTACTCTCCTATCCAGGGTATCTTCTAGTCTGGCGCAGGCGTGTTTGCATTTTCTGAATGAATTTTAATTTCGCTTCTTCAATGTGAGTCAGATTTAGTGGAATTTCAAAATACATAAACATCAGATATGATTTTATATACAAAAATATTTATTCGCTTACCCAAATACATATTCTTAATTTAATCAGTTGCTAAAGACATTGCTTTCTTAGTTCACATGCTTGGAAGTCGTTTTGTGTTGTATTTTCCTATTTTGCTATTGAATGCTTACCGATTGTAACGTAGAACAGCTGAAATATCAGTTATTTGCTAATTTTATATGTCTTAGAGTACAGCACATTAACTGTTAACTGTTAACTGTAAAGTATATTTTCTAATGATTTGTTGACACAAGTGTTCGAGAGTTTATTGACATCGCCAACAGTCCATTCACAAGCTGCTCCCCTACCCTGGCTAATCTAAAACAATATGTATTTATAAACTAGGGAAGACATATCTTTTTGTTTTTGTTTTGCCTCTCAGCAAGAAAATTAGGAGCATTGCATGGGAAAACTTTACATGTCAGCCAAAACGATGAATTCCTCAAAATCCATCAAATAGGAAGTGAGAATGTGAGGATATAACCGACTAGTGGGTACACGCCACAGAATTGATAACAAAATATTGTTTACAAATTGAGAATCTCTAAGTCCTAGCTGGATGAGGATATGCATGAGTTAACATTTCATTCCTTTCGCACATTTCCCATAACCAATATACACGCTTCCCGATTTTGAACAAGTATACAATTTAACGTATATGCTACATAAAGCAGGCGTACATATCGTGCTAAAAGACTAACAACTTAAAAGACAAAATTGAAAAACAGAAAAACAGAAATAGCAGAAAAGGCAGAAAAAGCTTTGACGACAGCCCGAAAAAGATGAACTTTTAGGGAGGAGCAAAACGAAAATGTTCGAATGAAAATTCGCTCGCATTATTCTTTTAGTTTCGCTGTTCAGTCTACGGCCGATATCCAAGAACTCAAGACGTGCGTTCCAAACACAAAACAAATTAAAAATTTTAATATACTCATATATATATACATATATAAGAAAACCGTGCTAACATCTATACATTATACTATATATATTTCGCTTATTTTTCCGGACCGGTTGGATCCGGTTGAGATTGCAAAGCGAAAATCAACTCGAATGTGGCCTCTAGCATAAATAATTGTAAATAATTTTGCACAAAAGTTGCTCAAAAGAAAAAATTGAAAAAGTCGAAACTGATTTTTTCATTTAATCGATCGATTGATCTCTGGAAAAGTTTCGAGATTGGAAAGGAATATTTTTGAATCAACAACAGTGACAGGTGATTAAAGAAATATACTCTTTGAATTGAGAGTAAAAATGTATAATTTTGAGAAAAATATTACAAACATTGGCTTTTGGCCAAATTATCATGTTCCACATTTGTCTAATATACAAAATCATGACGTAATATTTGTAATAAAGTGAATGCAGAATATTATATTATATATATATATGCAACTGTAGTTATACATGTACACACATGCACATATATATCTATAAATTCAAACGCTATATACATATGCTCTATAAAAGCCTAAATGAGAATCATATTTGCATTGCTATGCGAATTGGCTTTGCGTTTGCTTTTGGTTTTTCGTTTGCTTTTCTTTTAAATATGCCGCAATTTCAGTTTTTCTGTTTTATTTAAATCGACTATGCGAAATTCGTTTTCCAAAAGTTTATTTTGATTCACATATGCTAGCTGCTTTCAAAAAATGTGTCAAATCTTTTTTAATGCTCCTTCAGACAATGAAAACGGGCGTTTCGGTTTTGGACAACAATGCTTGAAAGTCCTAAATATTGATTGCATATTGATTGATCGATTATGTCAGTTGCAATTCCTTATGCGAAGCCTCCCTCATATGATACAAATGTGAGTTCTACAGTATTGTAATATAGGATCAAAGAATCATAGTTGCCCTTCTCTACATAGATATCTATAAATGATTTATCTATAAATGATAATGGGAAAAAATGAAAAATTATAGTTGTTGGAGTGTAGAGAATGATTCTACTAGATTTCTGCTATGTTTTCTTACAGGTTTACACAAATTACTCTGCTAAAGAGATCCCTTGAAAATTTATAGCGGAAGCCTATTTAGCCTCGGCAAAGCATAAAATGTCAACAAAATTATGATATATATGAGATATATTAAAAAACCATTAATATATTTCTAATTTTATATATGCAGAAAGGCCAATCTTGACTTTTTTTTAAACCAAAAATAAAAAAATAAACATACAAAATGATGTTTATTTTCTTTATTTCAATTAATTAACTAAAAGATTACAAAATTGGCAAAACTTTGACTTGGACTTTTTTTTCAAAAATTACCCCATGCCATGCCGTGCAGACCAATTGACGTATTCTTTAATGGCAGACCAATGTCTAGACGTTCTATGAATCGAATCTCTGAGGTCATAGAGCTACTCACTATACACGACTGTCTGCATATATATGGTATATATGTATGTCTATACCATACATCAATAGTATATTTTTATATAAGCGACAATGGGCGATCTTCAGCCGAGCGTTTGATAAAACGACACTTTTTATGTTTTGGAATTAAACAAAATCTTTGGGGAGGCCACTTAACGACTGTGTGTGTGTGTGTATGTAAATGTATCTTCGTCTATACTACCTGCTGAGCACTTGCTCTACTACAATATATAGATCGGCCAGGCGCTCTGTGTGGAGCTGTGTCGCACACGCATTACGCAAAATGTTATTTATAAATGGATGTCCGATGCTAACTTGGCTATGGCTATGGCCAGGCCCAGGCCAGCACCAGCACCAGCACCAGCAGCAGCCGGTTCTACATACACTAATACACAGACACACACAAATACATATACACACGTGCGGTCAACTGCAGTGGAACAAAATGATCTGACGAGTCTCGTAAATTCTTTAATGCAAGCCATCATATCGCAATGTACACAAACGCCCACGTTTCATGTGTTCTTGGTGACTCTTTGCTGCTGCTTGAATGCGAATTTTGTCAACTATTTAGATAAATCAAAGAGTTTAAGACTCTTACATATGTCTGTCTGACTGGTCTGTCTGCCTAGCTCTAGCCATGAAAATGTATTTCGAGGAGACTTTTCAAAATGTTGGCCGATAGATGGATAAATCAGTTAAGGTCGATTCCATGTTCCATTAGCAGCCAATATACTCGTCTTGCACCTCGTTTATAAATATTTATTTATTTCGCGGAAACTGACCAAGAGAAAAGGGAAAATCGTATGGGGAACTATTTTTGGGATGCGGCGTCATTGTCGTCTTTGGCTCAATCGAGGCGTCATCGTCTTTGCCAAGAATTCTGCGTGTTGGCTCGAGGAATCTACAACCTTTTTCCTTTGCTTCTATTTGCAGTTAATATTTCGGCCTTGAAATGTTTCCAAATCAAAACAATTTGGGCGCTGCGGGTGCAGCAGGCGATGCCCAGCAGCAGAGCCTCAACTACAATGGCCTGCAGCAACAGCAGCAGCAGCAGCAACAACAACAGCAGCAACAGCAACAAACTCAACAATTGTCACAGTCCACGAAGAACGTGAGAAAGAAACCGTATGTGAAGATAACGGAACAGCCCGCCGGCAAAGCGCTGCGTTTTCGCTATGAGTGCGAGGGTCGCTCGGCCGGTTCCATTCCCGGCGTGAATTCAACGCCCGAGAACAAGACCTATCCGACCATAGAGATTGTCGGCTACAAGGGACGCGCCGTCGTCGTTGTGTCCTGCGTCACCAAGGATACACCATATCGGTAAAACTTTGTTTTAGAAAACTCCTTTTCTCTCTTAATCTCCCTCTCTCCCTCTCTCTGTATATGTAGTCCACATCCACACAATCTGGTAGGAAAGGAGGGCTGTAAGAAGGGCGTCTGCACCCTGGAGATCAGCAGCGAGACAATGCGAGCCGTGTTCAGCAATTTGGGCATTCAGTGTGTCAAGAAGAAGGACATTGAGGCGGCTCTAAAGGCGCGCGAAGAGATTCGCGTGGATCCATTCAAGAGTAGGCCAAGCAAGATGAACTAAATTGAGAAAGTAATTAATTCATGTTTATTCCCTAGCTGGATTCTCGCATCGTTTTCAGCCGTCGAGCATCGATCTGAACTCGGTGCGCTTGTGCTTTCAAGTATTCATGGAGAGCGAGCAGAAGGGTCGCTTCACATCGCCTCTGCCGCCCGTCGTCTCCGAGCCGATCTTCGACAAGAAGGCCATGTCCGACCTGGTTATATGCCGGCTGTGCAGCTGCTCGGCCAGCGTGCTGGGCAACACGCAAATCATTTTGCTGTGCGAGAAGGTGGCCAAAGAGGACATCACGGTGCGCTTCTTCGAGGAGAAGAACGGGCAGACGGTGTGGGAGGCCCTGGGTGATTTCCAGCACACGGACGTGCACAAGCAGACTGCCATTACGTTTAAGACGCCGCGATATCATACGCTTGAAATAACGGAGCCCGCCAAGGTGAGTGCAGCACTCGAATCCCATTTGCCCATCTAATAATGGTTTCCCATTGCCCGACAGGTTTTCATACAGCTGCGTCGACCTTCGGATGGCGTTACCAGCGAGGCTCTGCCCTTTGAATACGTGCCATTGGATTCAGGTAGGCATACGTTCTGGAATCTTCATCGGCATCTCAAGCGGAAGCCCGATGAAGACATCTTTCAGCAAATCCTCGCGATCGACGCGGTCGACCGTTGCTCGGCCAAGCGCGAAACCCCTGCGATTGAGGTAGTTGATCTCAACACGCCCACCGTGGAGCAGGCCCAGCCTCAGCTGGTGCAGGCGGTTACGGCGGATGCGGCGGCAGAGGCACAGCTGGAGGTGCATGGGACCGAGGATGAAACAGATCAGGCACCATTAGATATGGAAGCAGCCGATGCTGAAGCTGAGGCGGAGCGACTGCGAACTGAATTGGAAATCGATACGATCATTGATGAGAAGGTGCGCGAATTGGAGCAGTTGGAGTTGGAGCAACAGCAGCAACAAAAGCAGTTGGAGCAGCAGCAACACTTGGAGCAGCAGCAGCAGCAACAGTTGGAGCAGCAGCAGCAACAGCAGTTGGAGCAGCAGATGGCAGCGCCAGAGCCGCACCAGCTGACGGCCACTGATAAATGTAACGAGTGGATGAAGTCCAATGAGCTACTGCAACAGCCCCACGAGCCAAGTCCAGATCCAGCGGAAGCCGAGGTCGAGGCCGATGACAGCGATGCCACCGCCGAGACTCAGGTGGCCGCCACGGACGAGGACAAGACGCTCAACGAGCTGCTCGAGCAGGTGGCCGAGCTGGACGAGATCTACACGGACTTTGTCATGCAGCGGGACACGTACAACAACACGCTGCAGAACGAGATGGAGAGCATGGGCAGGCCGCCCATGCAGGTGGAGGACAGCTTCGATGATGCGGCCACCTATACGAGTCTGCAGATCGCCTTCAAGAATCCAGTCAGTATACCCATGGACGACATCATGCCTCCGACGCCTCCCATGTCCCAGTGTGCGCCAGAGGATGCGCAGCACTACGATGCTGTTGAGGTGAACTCCCAGCAGCAGCAGCAGCATCAGAAGCAGCAACAGCAGCAGCAACAGCAAGATATGCTCAAAGAGTATGAAATGGAGAAACGGGCACAAGAGCAGCTCGAGCGGGAAGCGGCTCTGATGCTGGCGTCTGTTGAGGAGGAGAAGCTGCCGCCGCTGCCGCCCAAGCGCTTGCGCAAGCAGGACAGCAATGCTGAGAATCGCTCGATCGAGGCGAACAGCGAGCCAGCTTCAAAGGAAAAGCCACGCCTGCCACCGCCCATCATTCATCCACGCGTCACCGATTTGCCAGCGGCGCCCACGAAGAAGCTGCCGCAGCCACCGGAGACGAAGCCCAAGCCCAAGCCGAAGCCCGCAAAGAATCCGAATTTCAATACGCTGCCCAGGCAGAAGAAGCCCGGCTTCTTCGCCAAGCTGTTTGCGCGGCGCAAGAGCAAGCCGGACCTGACAGACCAGAACACTGAGAACTGCTCCAGACTCGACTCGAAGCCCCCCAGCGCCACGGCCAGCAGCGAGCCCAGCTTGGACAATCTCAATACGCGAACGGCCAAAAGCAAGGGAAGCAATGTGGTGCTGGGTCCTCTCAAGTTAGGGGGCCCAGGCACGACGGCCACGCCCCGAAAGTCCGGCAAGTCAGGCAAGCCCTGCGGCCGCAGCGTAAGCAGCGTCTCAGGCAAGCGACCCGCCTACCTGAATGCGGACGTGGTGCATATTCCACTCAAGGGCGACAGCTCCAGCAGCCTGCAGCCAGCAGCCAACGAGGCCTACTCGAGCGCCAGCACAATCACAGTGGGCGGCCAGTTGGACAGACGCACTGCGTCCGCGCTGCAGCTGGCCGAGATTCCCATCAGCGAGGGCGGCATGGAGCTGGTGGCCATTGCCGACCGCCAGAGCTTGCACAATCTGGTCAGCTCCATCGAGGCGCACTTCAACGTCAAAATGGACCCCAACCTCGACCTGACGGAGGTCGAGCACTTTGCCCTCTACACGAGCGTGCCGCCTCAGGCGACGGTCAGTGAATTCGACGAGACCTCCGCCTACTATGCATCCGTGGATGCTGGCGAGATTCTGACGCCCGACCAGGTGGCCAAGCGGCTGGCGGCAGCAAACGGCAATTGAATATTGTTAACTCATTTACGAACAACATCAGCTTGTCTGGTTGCCTAGGACTAGGACTAGGGAGACCAAGTCGAGTCCCTAGCATCGAATCGAATCGAATCTCGTCGACCAGCTCAATTTGTGTGATTGGATAGGCAAAGGCTCTCCTTGTCGTCCCAATCGTCGATTGGATATTGTAACATGTATTTTTTTTAGCCCTACGAACAAACTTCGCAACGACTAAATCAGTTTGTATTGAGGGATTCCACAGCGAATTCCAAACCCAAAGAATCATCGACTAAAACAATTTGTATGGTTAGCTAAGAAAAGGACCCGAAGTCCTTAAGGCATTTTACACTTGGCAACGGGCGCTACACGAACCCCAAAACACGATTTGGTGGCGCTCAAAATTTGTAATTGTATTTGTTTTAGAATTGTTGACACGCAATGTGTGCATACCCTGTCTTACCTGTTGTATGATCGGGTATGCCGACTTTGTAAGCGTTTGTCAGCGAACACTTGATTTGTGCAGCAGCTCGAACTTTTCGCTGCTCAACTTTGTCTTGAAGGGGCGCTGACTCGCATCGCTCCCCAAATTTGTATTTAGTAGCTCTAAGGGTTCTTTGAACCGAGTCAAGACTTGTCCAAACTTGTTGGCAATTAAACGAATTGCTATACTCTCTTTTTTATAGATCCAGCACACTTGAGGCGGAAACGTCAAAAGACTGGCGGCGATCCCATGCACCTGTTGCTCCAGCAGCAGCAGAAGCAACAGCATCACAATGATCATCAAGATCGTAAGTTTTCCTATTTTCACTTCACTTGGCGGTTGGTGTGTGGGGTGTGGTGGGTGGTGGTTGGTGTTTAGTCTTTCGTCCTCTATCTCTATCTCTGTCCATTCTCTGTCCTCTTGCTCTGTTGTGTGTGGATCTATCTACTGCTCAGGCAGCATTGGTTTGAAGATAGACAACTTATCCTACCTAGAATATTTCGTATGCCAAGGGCTTGGCACGCTCTATGATGTATTAATCGTATAGACTATTAGAGAATATATTATTAATATTAAACCAGGAAACATAATCGAAAACCAAACAATGCACAAATACTAAACAAAACTATGCAGCAACTAAATACAAATTATACCTAAATAAATACGTAGCGTAAATATATATGTAGCAATAAATATTGTTGTTGGAATTTTATGAAAAGGAGAAGTACTTATGAAGGATGAAATATAATTATTATTACTATTATTAATATCGCTTTGATAATTGGGCAGAAAATATGAAAAAAAAAAAAAACAACCAAAAATTTGATATTTTTATACAAAGAAATTTTTTGAAAATACAAATATTCTTGCAAAATACTTTTATAAAATATTTAGATAAATAAAAACGAAAAATGAGAAATAAAATTTTATAGTTTTTATTTTAATGAGATTTTGAAAAGAAGTTTAAGCAAACAAAGTAAGTTCATACAAAGCGAAATCTTGCACGATTAAAATCAATTTTCCTTTTTTTTTTTTTTATTTATTTTGATTTGTTAAATATAAACAATAAAAAAATTGTATGAAATTCAAATCAAAGTAAAAGCAAATGTTTTTTTTTTGTGCTTTTTCGTTACTTGGATTTTTTATATTTTTTGATTTGTATTTTAATTTATTTTTTAAACTTAGTTCTAGTCATTATATTTGTGCATGAGCTAAAATTTAAAAAGTTTAATTTTAGCTTCTGTTTGTATTTTTTTGCTATATTTTTTTTAACACTTTTTATTATTTTCAATATGATTAAGTTTTGATTTAAATATGAAAATTTAAAAATGTTCGTTTTTATATATATTTTTGTGTGCCTATTTTATTATATTTGCTCAATTGCTTGCCTTTATTTACACATGTTTTGCTCGCTGTTTCTTACGTTTATTATTGCTTTTCTGCTAACAATTTCGTGCACTGCTTCTAGGTCAAAACAACATGAACTGTTGGAATGCGCAGAACATACCGCCTATCAAAACTGAACCAAGAGGTGAGCAATACATATATTTATATATTCCCACATGCATCAATATATATTTTGATGTACTTAGATACCTCACCACAGCCGTTTGGCTTGTATCGTGCTCCGCCGGAATTGACGCCTTCGCCGCAGCCATTGTCCCCGTCAAGCAATTACAATCAGAATAGCACTCCGTCGCCGTACAACATGGCAGCAGCAGCAGCAGCAGCGCCCAGCAATGCACAACAGCAGCAGCAGCAGCAACAGATGATGTCGCCCAACCAACACCAGCAGCAGCAGCAACAGCAGCAGCAGCAGCAGCAATATGTTGCTGGCGGCGCTCGCAACCTGGAGCTGGGCAACAATTACAATCCCTTCACGCAACAATTGTTGGCCCAGCATCAGCAGCACCAGCAGCAACAGCAACAGCAGCAACAACAGCAGCATCAGCAGCAACATCAACAACAACAACAACAACAACAGCAACAGCAGCTGCAGTACAACACCAATCCGAATCCCTTTGTAACCGCTGGCAGTGCAACGCATTGGGAGAGCAAATTCTCAGCTGTTGCTGTTGCTGCTGCTGCCGCTGTCAACGCAGCGCCAGCTGTTGCCAACAGCAACAACAACAACAACCTCAGTAATCTCAACAACCCATTCACAATGCACAACTTGCTGACGTCGGGCGCGGGCGCTGCTGGCAATCTGCAATGGAATCTGACCACGAATCACTTGGTAAGAGGACAAACTGGGCTCCAACTTGATCTCTAACTCTAACTCTAACGCTCCCGTTGAATGCTTGCAGCAAAATCAACATACGCTGCAGCAACATCAGCAGCAGCAGCAACAGCAGCAGCAGCAACAGTTGCAGCAGCAGCACATAGCACCAATGCATCCGCAGTACGCCAACACCAACAACAACAATGATAACAGCAACAACACAAACAACAACAATGAAAACGGTCCCACGATCAGTAACCTGCTGAGCTTCGACAGCGAGCAGCTGGTGCGAATCAATTCAGAGGATCAGCAAATGCTGCGCCTCAATTCAGAAGATCTGCAAATATCAAACCTATCCATATCTACGTAATACTACTAATCTAATCTATAAACTCTGTTGTTATAAGCCCCAAGTCCTGTGTGCTTCATGCAAACTGTAAAATGTGTTTTTAGTATAATTTCTTTGAAAATACGAATAAATTAAACGTTTTAGAAGTAAATCAATTTCAAGAGTATTTTGCATTTATTGTGCTGCCAAAAACTTGTAGGCACCAATTACAGCTAGAACAGCAAGTTCTTGCCTTATAACATATGCCCTTTTTCGTTAAAGTATGTATGGTAAGTATATATAAAGGACTATTATATCATCGTTATCGATCACATTGAATCATTGTTCTAGATTTATTTGAGCCTTCGCTTTAGGCAACCCCTTCTAACCCCGTTCTCTTATTATGAATAAAATAAATTTGTTGTAAAATTTACTTGAATTCCGTTCCAAAATGGGAAATAAATCAATTTTAAGCAATGAGAACATGAAATAACTGAACATAAAATTATCAATGGACAAACGATAAACTAAAATTTCAACTAAGTGATGATTATGTATGTAGATACGTCTATTTTGTGTTTGCTAGGGCTGCATCGACCTTGTGTGACCCATTCGAGCCGCCCGGGAAGAGGCCGCGTAGCTTCTTGACAGCACCCGGAATGGAAGCCATGGGCAGAGCAGGGGGAGGCGTGCCGGGCAGCATGCAGTAGGCGACGAGGTGCATCAGTCGAAAGGTGGCCTGTTGATAGACCTGGCTCTGGGCGAAGCACTGGCGAATGCGGTGACCCACCGTGGCGGCGAGGCAGTTCTCCAGGGTCTGAATTTGCACCTCCTTCTCCTTGATATCTTTCTCAAGCTCTTCAGTGTGCTTCATCAATTTGCTAGAAATTGTGAATTATAGAAGAGAAAGTTGATTGCAGTTCAAGGTGCACGTCTCACCCGATATGCAGCTCCGTTTCGCACTTGTACTCGACCAGGCTCGAGTTGGACAGCTTCAGCTGCTCCGCAACGAGGGCAATGTCATCGCGCAGCTTCTCTACATACTCCTGCTTCTGGGTCAGCTCGAGTCGCAGGGATTGCAGCTGGCTGGTCAGCTCCTCGATGTCGAACTTGGCTCCCTGGCACTCGAGCTGAACGCGCGCCAGCTGCTCCAGCTGCTCCCGCTGCAGCGTGTTGGCCAGGAAGAGCTCCTTCTTGGTGGCCTGCAGCATCTCTTGCAGGTTTTCGATCTCCTGGGCCTTGAAGGCGTTGTCCTTGGCCAACTGCTGCTTCTCCTCGTTGGTCTGGCCGAGCAGCAAGGTCAGTTCGTTGTAGGACACCTTTGTCTTGGCGCTGTCCATGTACGACTGCTTCAGCTGATCGTTCAGCGTCTCGTTGCGGCGCTTCTCCACAGCGAACAGCGTGTTGTACACGTGCAGCTGGTTGCGGCTCTTGACAAACTGTAAGAAAGGAAGTAAGCCGAGTTAGAGACGGGCGCCTTAAGAGACTGGGCTTATCCCTTATCAATCGCTTTAGGCGATCTTACATTGCGCTTGAAGTCCTCGACCTGCTCGGTCAGGTGACGCACCTCCTGCCGCCTGCGCCGCCAGGAGCGCAGCATGATGGTGTTGAAGATGCGTAGGCTGGCGATGTGCAAGTCCTGGTCGCCGTTGACCACGAAGCGAGTGCTGCCCAGCTGCGAGGTGCCCTGCAGCAGCAGTTGGGTGAGGTGCTCGTTCTTGATGGTCAGCTGACCCGTCTGCTCCTGCTGCTCGGGCTGAGCCGGCACAAGGGCGTTCGAGCTGGACACATGGGCAACCAGCTGATAGTTTCCCGTGCGCCGAGCCTCCTTGAAGTCCATTTGGGACACGGACTTGCGCGCTCGATAGTTCAGCATGGCCGCTGTCTGCTGTCGCTTCAGCGTCAGGTATGGAGGCAGTCCTCCCGTCTTGGACTGCGGCTTCGTCGTCGGTTCCAGCTTATTCTCAGTCAGCCTCTCCGGCTTGGGCTGCGCCTTGTAGACAGGCACGCCCGATCTGGACACGCTGGTGCTCAGCGAGTTGTCTGACGACGAAGGAGTCAGCATGATAGCCCTTGGCAACTCCAGCAGCTGCACATTTTCCTTGTTTTCCGCTCTACAAAGTAGACAAAAATTAGAAAATATTTCTCTATGCTCACAAAGCCAATACACAGGCTCGCACTTCACGAGCGAGCACACACTTGAGACTCCATTTACTCACCCCAGCAGCTTCTTCTTGTTGCCCTGGATGCGACGTTTCTTCATTTGGGCTCCAATGAGCGCCTTGTTGTAGGGAGCTCTGGGCGAGCTCTTCACGGAGCGGGGTGAATCCTCGCCCTGCTTGGAGAGCAGCTCATTTCGGCGTATGCGTGGACTCTTGGCAAACATGATGTCACTTTCAAAATGTTAAAAAATGTTGTTTTGTTTTCTTCACAGCTGAATATATTATTTATGAAAAATAAAACTCAAAATCAGATCAATATAGTTGCTGAATGTTTTTGTTTTTTGTAGCTGCGTTCAGATTGTTGAGGAATATAATACTAAAATCGAATGAGATTAAATCTTTCTCTAGAATAAGAACAGGTCAAGGCCTACTATTTATGTATTATTTATTTAGCTATTTACCTAATTTAATTTTTATATTTATTATTTTTATTTCCTGAACCCACTGAAAATGAGATATCTGGGTATGATGGTTTTGTT